AATATTTTTTAAAATCATCCACCTAATTATTATCACATCTCTATCATATCTTGTAAGTTAACAACAATGCCACCTCAGTAAATTAGTAAAACATTAAACTGAGTTAATGCCTACATAATATATTATAATATTAATAATGCATAAAATAAACGTTAAAGCAGAAATAAGAAAGATGTAAACGGCATTCAAATTCGCTCGCTCCCGCTCTCTTTTCCAGCTCGTCGGTCCTCTCCGCATTGGATTATGGAAAATAGTGCTTCATTGAGTGTACATCGGCTGTACATGTAAAATCAGAGAGGATTATGGGTAAAAAGTAGTAAGTGAATGTAGGGAATTAACTCGTTCACTCAGAATTTCGGACAGCACTACAAAATGGCCGACACCCTTGAGCAAGGCACCGAACCCCCAACTGCTCCCCGGACAGTGCACTATATAGGGGATAGGGAGCGGTTTCAGACACAGCTTTAGACCTTGATTTGCTTGTTCAGGTGTGTTTGATTAGAGTTGGAGTGAAACTCTGCAGGACTGTGACTCTGAAGGACTGAAGTTGGCCGATCTGATCTGATCACATTGTATGCATATAGATAGCATTTAAAACAGGGATCCTCAAATCTGGCCCACGAGATCCACTTTCCTGCAGTTTAACAGGGATTGGGTGTTCTGCAAAGAGAGTTGGAGGTAAATAATTTTGCAGTAACTGTTATGCTGATGTTGTGGCTGGTCAAGCAAATGTTTGTGCTTGTTTCTGTATGATTTAATTGTTCATATATCTATTAAAATACTGATATTCTGGTTCTAAAATACTGATATTCTATAACTCCTCCCCGATCTTCCCGCTGCCCTGTATCTTGGTCTCTCATTGGCTGTAGGTCATCGCCGATGTGTTTTTCAGTCAGAACTCATTTCACACAGCGTGATTGTGAATTCCCTCAGATCGCGTCTTTGATCATTCACACTGCGTGATTGTCACTCGCGTGAACGAGCACCGATTTGCCTCCGATGTTGGGCATTTGTCAGCGATTTCGCAAAACCTGTCGGCGAGTGAAAAATTGGGCTAATATCGTGCAGTGTGAACTCGGCATAACCCTAATCAAAAACACCTGGGCATGCTAATCACTGTCTTCAAGATCATTAGAAAATCGCAGGTAGGTGAGTTTGATCAGGGTTTTATCAGGGTTGGAGCTAAACTCTGCAGTGCATTGGCCCTCCAGGGCAAGATTTTCTGCACATCTCAGTTTCTTTGTTATTTTAAAATATCCTTTTTACCATTTCTTGAACATGTGCGGATCATTACATAATTTCTCTATTGCAACATAAGTACATTCTTCTAAAGAAAGGACAGGAACTATGTTAAACTAAAAAATTAACAGAGTGAACAACTTTTTAAACCATCACTGGCGACACTTTTATTATCCATCAAAATGTGTGTGTTCATGTACTTTCTGCAGATGGTAAAATAAAACATGATAGAATGATAGAATGAACAGATGGTAAAATAAAACATGATGAGTTTTATAATTAATCATGTAAATCAGTGGTTCCCAAACTGGGGGGCTTGGCAAGGCTAGTGAACAGTAAGCCGATTTTTATAGGGATTCAAAAGAGAAAAACTGCCAAAAATATCTGCTGCGCCACCCGGCAGTATTCAGTGCGCACTGCTCAATGTGTGACGCTACGCTCAATATTCCGCTCTATGAATGTGCGTGCCGTTGAGTTGCTCACGGCCAATATGAACGCTCCACTCGTGTACCGCTCATGCTCAAAGGAAAAGCAAAGTCCACTCAAATAATGCACAGACAGAAAATGTCTATATATACTTGTTCCTGTTTACAATAGCGTCGCATACTGTGCTGTAACATGCTGTAGTACAGCTGTACTGGACAACGCTAGTAAAATTACGCTACTCTCTCGTGACTATACGCTCTGCTCACATGCTCTGATAATAGCTTTGTATGATTTTACATTGTTTTGATAATCACAAAAAAAGGTATATCTGATTCTGTTTCATATAACTGAATAAAAATAATATTGTGACGAGAGTGGCGGGGCCGAGAGCCGTGGGAACGGAGCGAGGCCGGTGGAGTAAATGCTAATGCGCGACACCTGCGCCACTCACCGGTCTCGAGTCTCACGGAGGAGCTCCGGAAGGATACAGAGGAGGAGTGACGACAGTGAAAGACGAGAGAGGACCAGGCCTGGATTTTATTTTGTGTTTTGGTTTCGTTTGTGCGCGACAGTCGTCCACGAGCGGCTGTCGCGCTGTTTTGAGTTTATTTTATTATTAAAGTTTGTTTAAATGTTCGCCGGTTCCTGCCTCCTTCCCGACCTACAAACGTTTGTTACATTGGTGCAGGTGTCGCGCATTAGCAATTACTCCACCGGCCTCGCTCCGTTCCCACGGCTCTCGGCCCCGCCCCTCTCGTCACAAATATATTGAGATTTAGTATTAATATATTTTCTGTCCAATTTTATTGTTACTTTCAATAAACGTGGTTATTTTATTGGCTTGTGATTTTTAAATTCAGTATCATTAAAATGATTGAGTTAAATTTAAAAGTCTTACAAAATGACTATATTATTAAATGAAATAATAAATAATTATTAAAAAGCAGTTTCAGTTTCGGCCAAGAATTTTCATTTCGGTACATCCCTAGATTTTTATGTAAAAAGAAACGTTTTCAGGGTGATACAAGACCCCACTGTGAAATTATCTTGCTTATTATACTGCTACTTGCCACATATGCAAATAATTGAACACAAAATATGAATTTCATCATATTTTATTACCTCAAGACGACATGCAGTACCCGCTGTAGCGGTTGTAGTCGTAAAATAACAGACCACTAGATGGCGTAATTGATTAATATCAGAAATGAGAATTGCTGTTAGCTGAGTAAAATTATGAATGAATGATGCTTAGTAGTTCTGCTCTAAGCATGGACAAGTTTTTGAAAAGACAACAAGTGCCAGGTAAACGTAAAGTAGATGATGAATGAAGAAAGTATGATGAGGCATATCTCGCACTCGGATTCACCAGTACAACGGTGGGTGATGAAGAGAGACAACAGTGTGTTGTGTGCCCCAAAATATTAGCATCTGACAGTATGAAGCCAAACAAGTTAAGATGGCATTTAGAGACGTCGCATCACGAACACAAAGACAAGCCAGTTGATTTTTTCAGAAAAAAATAATTACTCAACTGTCGTGCCCAACAGAGTTGAGTAATTATTTCACAGCGAGTCTCATTGGCTGTCACGTGGGAAAGTTTTATCCAGGGTGTTTGAATTGCGGGATGAGATCAGAATCTTCTTGGAAGAAGAGGGAAATTAAATTGCCAATAAGTTCAACAATAACAAGTTTCTCATGAAACTTGCATACCTAAGCAAAATAACTAAATTTGCAGATGCAGGGCACCAACACCCACCTTTCCCAGCTGGCAGATAAAATCACATTCACAAGAAAACAGGAGATGTGGGAGCAGAGAGTGAAAGAAGGGAATATAGACTCGTTTGAGAACTTGAAATCATTCATTGAGGTCAACAAACTTCAGAACACTGATCCCATGCATGACAACTCCTATCTCTGCCCTACAAAAACATTTCCAGAGGTATTTCCCAGTGCAAGATCCTACAAAATATGATTGGTTTCGAGACCCCTTCAGTGCAACACCACCCGCTGACTTCAGCACAGCAAAACAGGAACAGTTCATTGATGTCACCTCTGATTCAACAATGAGGCTTCAGTTTAAGTCCAAGGCATTGGCTGCATTTTGGATTGGAGTGGAAAAGGACTACCCACTGCTAGACAGGAGAGCCCTGACAATACTCCTTCCTTTTGCCACATCCTACCTATGTGAAATAGGGTTTTCTGCAGTTGCCTCAATCAAGACAATATACAGATCAAAGCTGGACATTGAAAATGAGCTAAGAGTGGCAGTCTCACAGCTGCATCCCTGATTTGAGAGGATCTGCAGCACAAAGCAAGCCCACCCCAGTCACTGAAAAGACTGTGGGACTAGTAAATAAGTCTAAATCCTGCAGTTCAAAAATGTTTAGGGCTGAGATATGGAGATCCCACTTGCAATTAATGCCATTTTAGAAAATAATGGGTCCGTGGACAGTGGAATTTTGGGATGAAACTGGGTGCTGTGGACTCGGGGACCTGCTGAGTGCAGTAAAATCATTTTTATCATGAATGCACCTTGATTTAAAATGTCCAAATAAACACTATCTGGAGCCCATGCAATAAGTCTGAATTGGGACAATACATAGTAGATAAGTGGATAGTCATCCCATTTGCAATTTATTCAGTGGGATGTGGGAGTTGAAAATAGGAAGTATATCCACCTGCAATTTATTTAATGGGCCTTCTGTACTGGTCCCGTGGACACATGTGAATAAAGTGTATTTTTCATAAGCATGAGTGATACTGTTGATGAAACCACCTCTACTGTACTCAGCAGACTCAGTGGAACCCATTCATGTCAGTTTCATGTCATAATAGTGTTGAATTTGCATACAAATGATGTAGAATTAATAAGGTTAATTTTTCATAAGTATGAGTGATATTGTTGATGAGAACACCTCTACTTTGAGGCAAGTTTGAAAAAATCTGTTGAAAACAATGAATGAAGGGAAATTTTTTTTTTTTTAAATGTAATGCTTGTACTCTAAAAGTGACTAGTTCCTTGGTTAGTTTTTTTTCAGTAAGTTGTCACACACTGAATTTGTGTTAATTACCATTAATGAATTACGTTTCAAATAAATCCTCCTGAAAGTGTGTTTATGTTTATGTGTGAATAAACATATTGAATTTTTTTTTATTCTGCAAAAGGGGGGCCCGGCAGAAAAAGTTTGGGATCCACTGGTGTAAATGATGATTTGCACAGAATATCTGCTGTACTGAGACACTGATGATACACTGAACAAAAAGAGTTCAGCTACATGAACAGATTAAACAGATTCATAATTCCTGATTCAGATGTGTTTTCTCTCCATCAGATTTCCATCACTTCACTCTGGATCCAAACACAGTGAATAACAACCTTCATCTGTCTGAGAGCAACAGAGTGATTATTCACACTGGCACATATCAGTCGTATCCTGATCATCCAGACAGATTTGATTATTGGTGTCAGGTGTTGTGCAGAGAGAGTGTGTGTGGACGCTGTTACTGGGAGATTGAGTGCAGTGGAGAATACGTGTCTATATCAGTGTCATATAAGAGCATCAGCAGGAAGGGAGAAAGTTATGAATGTTGGTTTGGATATAATGATCATTCCTGGAGTTTGATCTGCTGTTCCTTCTATTATGCATTCAGACACAATAACATACAGACTGTTCTCCCTGTAAAGCCCATCAGCAGGAGAATAGGAGTGTTTGTGGATCACAGTGCTGGAACTCTGTCCTTCTACAGCGTCTCCAGAAACACAATGAGCCTCATCCACACAGTCCAGACCACATTCACTCAGCCGCTCTATCCTGGGTTCTGGGTTTGGTCAAGATCATCAGTGAATCTGTGTTGATGAATCAGAAAAGACTGATGAGAGATTCTACCCATAATGCTTTGAGTTGCATGATAAATCAGTGACAGTGAGATGTTATAGAGTCTCTTTATTACATTAATACTGCAGCTCAACTTCTGTCACTGAAATAACAGTCAGAATAAATGTGTCTAATAAAGCTTCATATAGACAGATCAGTGTTTGTGTGTTTATGAGCCCTGTTGAGTGACGATGTGTATCTGTGCTTTTCTCAACCTACATTTGTGTTGATGGAAATCAGTCATTTAGTTTTTATCCAGTTCCAGTTATGGAGTTAATAAAGTAGGCAGAGGTAGCAATATTTTAGTAAGTGGCTTATTTCCAAGATATAGCATTTGGATTTAAGTTAACTATGGGATTGTGATTGTTTTACACCACGCATACAGAAGAGAGACAACTCTGATTTGCATTTAACATCATTAACAACTAGTTGTTCAGTTCGATTCCATACACACCATAGAATTTCTGTAAATGTGGTTGTCACTACATTTTCAGGAGTTAATTCAATAGCAGAAGGCAGTTGACACTCCCATAAATTACCGAATTGTGTGCATACAGAACAGGATTAAACAATAAAAGGTGAACTGACAATCAAATTTAGAATTTAGCTGCAGTGTGTATGTGGCCATAGATATCTCAAACGTGGTGGGATGATCACCTGCAATTCACACGCACAAACACACCTGTCAGACACATTGGTGGCATAATAATTAGCATATTTGCATTTTTGATCAGAACTCTCAGAACAGGTCAGGCCTGACAACAGTTACATCTACACTTTTACTGCACTCTGGAAAATTTTCCCACCATTTTAGAATTTTCTGAAACATAGTTTTTGGAACTCTTCCTAGACACATTAAGGTGTACATTTTAGGACATCCTCAGACCTCAGTTATATGATGAAAAGTCTTCATGCCTCAGACTAAAAGGCTTCAGCCATTGGACTAAACGGCATCGTGCCTCAGACTCAAAGGTTTCAGGTCTCAGGAAAAACAAAGTCAGGTGTCAGGTCTCGTACAATTAGGTGTCGGGCGAAATGGCCGCAGACAAAAAGGCTTCAGACTAGCTAGTCAACATTACAAAAGACAATCAACTGTTGTCAGTTCCAGTGGCGCAGATGGTAAGATGTGTGTTGTACTCATTTTGAAATGATCAACCCGGGTTCGAATCCACCTTTTGGCGAACTTTTTTCTCCCTTTGCAAATTTAAAATCACATCACAGCCTGTATTTATCAAGCCTCTGAGAATTACTCTCAAGAACGCTGCTAAGAATTGACTTAAGTCTAAAAAAATTCTTGGCTCAAAGCTGCGCTTAAAAGTTAGTTATCAAGCATCTCATTGGTAATTTAAGCGAAATGTAGGACTAAATCTTAAGTGTCATAGAGTTGATTCACGACACTTTGCTGTGCCACAAACGGGATATTGGATGACGAAATACGCATGGACCAATCACTGAATAGATTTCCTTATTTATGAATATTCTCAGATAAATTCACATTGAATGGTTAAATTCCTAATAGGAGTTTTACATTCAACACACATTTGACCATAAAGAATTTTCAAGAGAATACATTATGGTAAGGAAACGAATCGTCATCATAACCTTTAATTTAGGGTTGTGCTGGTAGACATTAGTATGTATCGACTATAGTCAGAGATATCACCTGTTGCTGATTTCTTTGACAACAGCAAGACAATTATTAGGGGTTCAAGCACGCAGTCGGCCCAATCGGCCTATGGGGGGCGCTACAGTGACCAAAAACGTGAAAGTGCTCATAACTTCTAAACCGTTTGTCGTAGACTAAAATTTTGTGTGATTTTGGGTCTTTCCACAAAATTGAGTTATGTCGGCAATATGGTGTCTAAAACGTAAGTCTCTTAATAAAACTTCTAGTTTATTGAACTGTTGTAAAAAATCAATATCACATTTGTATATGGTAATTTTTGGAGAAAAAAAGGCACTCTTGCATGTGAACTTGAGTATAAATATACACATTTTCTGCCCCCATGTCTTGAATTTGTGATCATTCTGAATGTATTTTAATAGACTGAATCATGCAGTGAAAGAGCTCACATTAGACTTCACGTAATGCGAGCTCTGTAGCTGTTTTGAATGTTTTTTTGCGTCGTGAGAATATTGAGCAAAATAGCTCACTTGTCATGGTGTTATTTAACTATATCATGTTATGAATAAACTAAACATTTAGAATTTTTACCTCAGTGTGTTTCTTCTGAGTTTATGTGTGCTGTCACGCTCATTTGTTCTGAAGTCTCGAGACAAACAGTGAGCCTCAGCGCGAGCTTGTATTCTGTATTCTGTAGTTCTCTCTGATGACGCAGTAACTTACAGCGGGAAGAACAAATCTTCGGTCTGTCCAATGATTGTAAAGTCATTAGGTTCGTCAGACTGAAGATATTTTAGCAGTAATGAAACCAAAAATATTTAAGACCCATCGAATCCGAATTTAAGACATTTTAAGACTTTTTAAGGCCTTATATTAGGAAAACGTTATTTAAGACATTTTAAGACTTAAGGACCCGCGGACACCCTGCCCTCAGCAGTGCCACAAACTGATCACCTCCATGCCACGCCGAATTGAGGCAGTAATTAAAGCAAAGGAGCCCCTACCAAGTATTGAGTACATGTACAGTACATGCTGTACATACTTTTCAGAAGTTCTGGAACATACTTTCCAGAAGGCCAACAATTCACTAAAACTGTTTTGTTTTATTGTTCTTATGAAGTATTCTAATTTGTTGAGATAGTGAATTGGTGGGTTTTTGTTAAATGTGAGCCAAAATCATCACAATTAAAAGAACCAAAGACTTAAACTACTTCAGTCTGTGTGCACTGCATTTATTTAATACACAAGTTTCACAATTTGAGTTGAATTACTGAAATAAATTAACTTTTCCACAACATTCTAATTTATTGAGATGTACCTGTACTCTGCTGTTGCAATGGGGCGCCAAAACGTTCGAAAGTCGCAGGCCACTTTTACTAAAAAGACTATAACTCGTGAACGAAATGAGATATCTTCACCAAAGTCGGTAGATATGTGTATGTGCTCAATCTTTGGTCAAATTATAAAAAATTGCGCAGATCTGCCACTTGGTGGCGCTATAAGATCGAAAAATCTATAACTAGGCAACCCATGGTCCGATTGACTTGAAAATCTTTTTCAGGTCTTTGTCCACTGTGCCATTAGGATCTATGAGGACATTGGCGTATCTCAAAAAACATGGCCGCCATCAGCAAAATAAGTTTAAGCACCTATTAGTCAAGGTTAACAGAGGTCGATTGGAACGAAACTCTGTGGGCATGTTTGACTCATGGCCTTAAAGGTCTGTAAGAATTTTGAAAGAAATTGGCCACTAGTTGGCACTAACGAGATTTATGGCTCAGTAATCACGTGGTGTTTCACACATCCACACAATAGGCATTTCATTTGATAGAACTCCTCATAATGAGAAACTTTGCCTCAAGAACCATTGCTGTCAATCAAATCGTTCATTAAATATTCACAAATGTTGAAAACCTACTTTTGCGAACTAGTCCTAGGTTTTTCGCTCAATCTCGATAACTATAATCTCACTATAATAGTTATAAAGGTTAAAAACACAGTGTTGTATGAGAAATTGCAATTATAACCACTAGATGGCAGCGGAAGACCACTAATTGGCTCATTAAATGCCCTAAAACAGTTCTGTTCATAGGTTTGCCTATGGATTCATGCTAAGACATTATAAAATCACTGTTCTAACATTTAAAATCACATTGAGTCAAAGTTTACAATTTTGTTCATACAGACATATCAGTTTTTACAATTATACAAGATTATGATTACAGTGAAACCTTAAAATGACATAAACTCTTAAAAAGAGAAGACTTGCAATAAGTTTTCTGTCACCTATCATTTATGTCAAATATCTATATCTGCAACAAAATGTGTGTGAATGTATGTCTGTGTGTGTGTGTGTGTGCAAGCATGCTTATTGAGTATTAATATAATAGTTTAACCATTTAATTTCTGTGTGTCTGTGAGCCTATTCTCCATTTTGGATGTGTTTTACTGTCAGCCATACATCCAGGTTGGCCTAGACCCTAAAAGCATACCACCTTAAAGGCCTTAAATTGCTAGAACCCCGGTAATCGCTGCTTGCAGCTATATTTATTATTATTATCCGTCAAAAATATAGGCGTCTATCTTTTGTGATGCAGAGAGCCGCTTCAGAAACTTGCCACAGCGTGTCTGGTGAGTAGCCGTGATCAGCTCCGGTGGCTGTGTCGGAGTTGTAACACGCCGCAGACATGTGCGGTGTAAATAAGGGGTAAGAGATTTATTCATGATACAGTGTTGGTAGCTTCACTGATTATAACGGAAGTGTTTTTAAAGAGCATATAATACTCGCGCTAGACTGAAGTCAGTTATGATGTTCTTTGTTAATGTAAATATTATTTGCTCGTTTCTGCTTGAATAACTGAGGAAATGCAACTTATTAACTGCTCGTCGTCAAACATTTCAAGAACATTCTTCCTCTCCTGAGAGATTTGTTCACGTCTCTGTCTCCTCAGCACCATCACAAGCCCCTATTGGCAACTCCTAACCACTTGAGAGACCTCTCGAGCTGTCTTAAATAACTGGGAGAGTAAGAGTGATTCTTAGCTTAAAGAAATTTGATAACTTGCTTTTATACTTAAGTTTGAAAGTAGGAGTAAATTTAATGAATTCTCAGCACTTAAGACTAAAATGGCACTTTGAGAAGCTTGTTAAATACGGGCCCAGAAAAGCATTTATTTTCAATGAAAATGAAGGAAATAATCAGAAAGTTGAAAATAAAGTATCGGCTAAGGTTAGGGTAGGTGTAGGGAGGGCTTTATTGTCCCAATAAGGTGGCATCCATTTAATAATTTGAATTAAAATTAAAATTTACACTCAATAAGTTATTGCATACTGTTTTATAATGTACTACAATACTGAGGTGCAGATATTGCCACTATTTGCAATAAGTAGTATAAATAGCAGAAAATCCTGCTATTTTAACATGGTGTAAATAGAATCTATAGCTATCTGCACTTGTAAATGTAATTGCACTTGTAAGTGTAAATAGCATATCACTAAAA